CGTGAGCGTGAACGTCGGCTCCGCCGAATTCGCCTCGGGAGGCCTTTCTCTCAACTTCCCACCTATTCGTGACGATACCTTTGCTTCGCCATCGCTTTACCACCTGACTAGCAGGTATAAGGGCCATGCGGATCATGTTCGAGGACCTATCCGTCAACGTATTCGCCACAGTAAGTACGCCCGAACGCAACGCCGACTCCTCTCCATGTTTAAACAACGAAAATAAGTATTCAGCCATCCGCGAGCTGGGTGTTGATGCGTACAGTCAACACGCCCTGACAGATCGCATGCAAACTCAAGTTTACAGTTAGGTCACGGTATACGTCTTTACACGACCCGAAGTATCCGACTACTTAAACGCCGAAATGCACGAACGGGACCCATCGCATGAAGTCCTTCTCCCCCGCCTTCTTCCGCAGGACCTTTGTTGCCTCGTGCAGCGCGTACGCAGCTCCCGTCTCCCCCTTCCCAAGGACCCCGCCATCCTTAAGCCGTAGCAGCTCCTTGTAATACGCTTCGGCCACGACATGCTCGTCCGCAGCCCGCATCGCCCACATCGTTGTGATGACGCCCTTGTACCCGATAGCGAGCACGCCCGCGGCGAGATACGCAGACTCCTCGCTGTCTCTTCGATGGCTGAAGGCGGTCTGGCATACTGCAATGAAGGCTAACTCGGCGTGGTCGGGCGAGAGATCCGTGAGCGCGGAGAGCGCGAGGTGGCCGTCATGTAACATGAACGCGCTCCGAGGTTCTTGCCAGCGGCGACACGAGAAGTGTACCCAAGGATGCTGCAACATGGCAGCTTGTACGTCGCGCACTGTCGCATCCTCGTCGTTGAGGACGACTGTTTGGATGGGCAACCGGCTCAGAGCGTCCGCGACGGTGTCGCCTGCGGCTCCAATTTCTGGCACAGCGCACAGTCCTGACGACACAGACTGTGTAACCAGCAGCATCGTAGAGATCTGTCCAGTATGCTGGGTGACTCCACTCGCACTTCGCGAGAGCGCGATGAGGGATGGAATATACGATGATACCGCCAATTTGAATACGCGAGGTCCTGATGAGTCCTTGTATACCCCGGCCGCGTGCAAGGGCAGGCAGGCAAGTGGGCCCGTGGGACACCAAGTGATGTGTGGCAAGCGCTTCATTTTCGTCTATAAACTGATGAGCTGAGGCATTCACGGTCAAAGGATGCGCGTACCGGGTTGAAAAGATCCAATGACTTCAAAACGGGCTGTACGAGCCATACCCAGAGTCGTTTGAGTTCGAGCATCGATAGGGTT